ACACACACACACACACACTCGTGCGTATCACACACACACTCATGTGTATCACACCCACACACCACACTACACACACACACTCGTGTGTATCACACACCACAACTCATGATGCACGTAACTACGTACATATTTGTCGTATTTAGAGTTCAGGTATATTTCATACTCACGAGATGTGAGTATGAAATATAAATGTGAGGTGTGGTGATGTTCTCTTGTTAGAATTCGAACCAGGTCATTGTTCATTGACAACGACGACAGACACGGCTCTTCTATTACCTGAGCTCACACGCCATCCAGTGTATATCTTGATTAATAAAATTTTGTTTCGTCTCGCTTCGTTTTGTATCGTTTCGTTTCGTATCGTTTCGTTAACTGCTCATAAACAACAGCCGGATGGCACCCACCTGAGAGATTATGGGAGGCTGAGGAAGGATGGGGAGATGAAGATGAGGAGGCATACGGAGAAGAGGGATAGGAATCTGTGGGTGATGGTGGTTGTGAGGGTGATGATGTCGATGGAGAAAATGATGATGATGATGATGGTGGTGGTGGTGATGATGTCGATTGTGGTGGTGATTATGGTGATGAAGATGAGGAAAAGGATGATGATGAAAATGTACCAGCACCAATCATTTTCATGCCGATGGTGATGATAATGTTTATGATAATGATGTTTGTGATGATGATGATGATGATGATGATGATGAAAGCAATGTTGATGATGATGAATTTCGGTGATGACGACAACGATGATGATGATGATAACTTATGATGATGATGATGATGTTTAAAAATATTTTTTCTTCCATTGTAGTATGATTTTCCTCTTTGATAAAGTCATGCTGATCTGCAAAATGAGGGTACGTTGTTGTTGTTGTTGTTGTTGTTGATGTTGTTGTTGCTTTGATGATGATGTTGTTGTTGTTGTTGTTGTTTTTTTTGTTGGTGGTTTGGTTGTTTTTGTTGATGTTGTTGTTGTTGTTGCTGTTGATGATGTTGTTGTTGTTGTTGTTATTAATGTTGATGTTGTTATTGCTGTTGTTTTAATGATGACGATGGTCATGCTTTTGTAGTTCTTGTTTTTGGTGGGGTGATTTTGTTATTTAATTTTGATCTTGTTTTTGTTGTGATTTTAATAATGTTTACTATTGAAATGTGAGAGTTTTTCATTCATTCATTCATTCATTCATTCATTCATTCATTCATTCATTCATTCATTCATTCATTCATTCATTCATTCATTTATTTATTAATTCACTCATTCATTTACTTAGCTTGTAATATTGTTTTATTCTAACATTAACATTTCCTAAATATTTCTCATCACAGATTCGCGACAAGCTAATATGGGTGAGTATGGAGATAACTGTTGTGATTGTCGTGATGTTGTCGTTGTTGTTGTTATTGTTGATGATGATGATGTCGTTTTGTTGTTGTTGATGATAATGATAGTGTTGTTGTTGTTGATGATGGTGATGGTGTTGTTGCTGTTGGAGTTGTTGTTGGCGATGGTGGTGTTGTTGATGATGATGGTGTTGTTGTTGGCGTTGTTGATGATGATGATGTTGTTTGTGTTGGTGGGGGTGATTTTGATTTGTTGATGATGACTTCATTATTATTATTATATTAATCATTGTAGGCAATTATAATAAATCTGCATGCTTGGTTAATTCAGTGGCCTTCATAATTAACATAATTTACTCATCGTATGCTAAATCATCAACATAATCATAACCCTATCCTCATAATCATCTTCATCACTCTCTGACCTTCATCGCAGTTACCATCATATCATCACCATCACGCCACCATAATGGCCATCATCATCATCATCGGAGTCAACATTCTTATCGCGATCATCATCGTCATCATTGTTATCAGCATCATCACAGTCTTCAACATCATCATCACAGTCATCATCATCACCACCAACATCATCACCACCATCATCACCATCATCATCACCTTCATCATCGCCACCACCAGGGGGAGACGTACAACTACAAGGACGCCCTCGTACTCTCGCAGTTCTACCTTGATGAAAATAATTCTGCTCTTCCCAAGGATAAGGAGAAGGTTTTGATGATGATGATGATGACGGTGATGATGATGATGACGGTGATGATGATGATGGCGGTGACGGTGATGATGATGATGATGATGATAATGTTGATGATGATAATGTTGATGATGATGATAGTTATTTAGATGATAATCATCATCATAATTGTCTTTGTCATGTTCATTGCCATCATCACAAACATCTTCTTCATAATTATTATAAACATCATTATCATACTATCATCATTATGGTCACCATCACCATCATACTATCATCATCATAGTCATCATTACCATCATACTATCATCATCATAATCAACATCATCATCATCATTATCATCATCATCATCATCATTCCACGCAGATGTCATTTGCGTTGGTTGACAAGAAGACGAAGGAGCCGTGCATCTTCACGTCGAAGACTCAAGAGATTGGGAACACGTGGGTGGCTGAAATCAAGAAGGCCCAGTTAGTCGGTTGATTGATTGGTCGGTTGGTTGGTTGGCTGGTCGGTTGGTTGGTTGGCTGGTCGGTTGGTTGGTAGGTCGGTTGGTTGGTCAGTTGATTGGTTGGTTGGTCAGTTGATTGGTTGGCTGGTCGGTTGGTCGGTTGGGTGGTTGGCTGCTCGGT